AAGTTGAGAAGTGACCAAAATATATTTTATTCTGAAAAGGAAATAATTGATTTAAAAAAAATAATAATGATTGATTGTTGTATAAGGAGAGGTATTAGCAGTAGAAAGAGGGAAGTGTTCATGCCATTGTACAGAACACTGGTGAGACCTCACTTGGAGTATTGTACGCAGTACTGGAGACCGTATCTCTAGAAGGATATTGATACCTTAGAGAGAGTTCAGAGAAGGGCTACTAAACTGTTTCATGGATTACAGGATACAACTTACAAGGTAAAGTTAAAGGAACTTAACATGTATAGCTTGGAGGAAAGACGAGACAGGGGGGATAGGATTGAAACAACACAGTAAAGGAGAAGAGTATATTTAAAAGAAGAAAAACTACCACAACAAGAGGACATAGTCTTAAATTAGAGGGGCAAAGAATAAAAAATAATTTCAGGAAGTATTACTTAGTGGATGCATAAAATAACCTTCCAGCTAAAGTAGTAGAGGTTAGCACAGTGGGGGAGTTTAAGCATGCGTGGGATAGGCATAAGGCTATCCTAGGCTTAAGATCAGGCCAGGAACTAATGAATATATTTAGAAAATTGGGCAGACTAGATGGGCCGAATGGTTCTTATCTGCTGTCACTTTCTATGTTAGCAGACAGCAAAAAATGTTTGTTTCATTCTCAAATCCAGTGAGAAGTGACCAAAAGAGGGAAGAAAAGGAAGAGCAGTAAATAAGTCAACATTTACATATTATCTATGTAATAAATATATTTCAATAAATATATAATAAATAAAAGTATAAATATATAAATATAAATATATATGACTGCTCCTCCTCTTTCTATTGGTTACTTTTATTTCATCTGTGAACCAAATGGTGGACACATTGTGGTGGTGACATTCAGATAAGAAGAACCACCATATAGCAGAAATGTGGGTGTCAGTGGTTTTGCTGAAACAATTTTTTTTTTTTTTTGCTGTACACAAGTCTACGTTTTGTTTTCTAAGTTGATCATTGCTTGAGGGTCTTCACTTTCCACAGTTCATATATGGATGTAGTTCACTGTAGTGAATGAGTCTACATTACCACTAGGTGGTGTGCTTGAGCTTTTAAATAAAATAGACAGTGTGTTTACTTTAAAGGGAATAAGAGAAGGAATTTAAATAGTACTAGACTATGAGAATGCCCAAAGGGCCTGGTACTCTTAGATGATCCTGCAATCTCTCACCCAGCAGGACTAATCTGTGACAGAAGAGCAGGATTTGTGAGTAGGCAGGAAAGGAAGATGCCTACATGTGACAAACCTTCCAGATTTGCGTAATTTGGCATTAATTTAGACATTTTTTTTTATAAAACATTTTTATAGGGTTATTCACTAAATTACAGAAATGAATTACAGAAATGTATAATGACTTCAAAGTCAATTTAAATTCTGACAAATAGCCAAACTGGAAACATTCTCCAAGTCAACTATGCAGAGAAGGGAGCAGGGAGACAGCACCTGTAGAGATTTTATAAATCCTTGTAAAATATGAAAGAACAAAATGCACTTACCATATTCTGAAACTTATGTTCAGTTCCAGATTTTCACGCATGGATGGAACAATCCCCATCTGTGGATATGGTGGTGGATCCTTGTGCTTGTTAGTAGATGTTGATCCCAGGCTTTTAGTTGTTGTACCACAGATGGGCAGTCAGATGCCCTCAGTGTATAGGAGAAGAAATAAGAACAGAAAATAGTGCTCACTGTATGTGTTGGACAGGATAAAAAGAAAAAATGAGATATACTCACAAACAGAGAGCAAATACAGGTATTGTTCAATCTCAAATGGTTTAGGTAATATAATCCCCACCAAGGATATCTCTGTGTGCGCCTTCAGGATAAAAAAAAGCTGCAAAGATAGATCTGGAGTCTCCAAGGGGGTGTAAAACAATTGACTTTATTTGGGGATAATAAAAATATAAAATCAAGTATAAAAGAAATTATAAAACACTAACGCGTTTCACCTGGAACAGGCTTTTTTAAAGTGGACTACTAATAGAGGTTGCCTTAATCCTGCAATGTAAACATTGCAGTTTCTCAAAAACAGGGCTGGGACAGGGGCATTGTGCATTGCGCCCAGACAACCTATAGTGCCTATACTGTCCCTTTAATGTATTGACACCTTATGGTCATTTGAGCTCACTCTCATTTGAATTTTTTTCTTTATCTCATACTCTATTTTCTTTCTTTCTCATCTGGCTACATTTATTCTCAAATCTGCGTCTTAATCTTTAATAAAAAAACAATATATTATTCAAGAATTTTGCAACTCAGAATCACTTTTATAGCTTGCTTGATTAGCCCCATAATAAAGGCAAAATTATAATCTCGTGGATGTGTTTAATTGAGTATGCTCTGTCTATATTTATGTTTAAAGCAGATTGCCTTGGGTATACTCATTCACTTGTGATGGAACCACATTTAAAACTTCCATTTCAATTTTTATTACTAATATAAACTTTACATGGTCCCATGTTTGGACGAGAGCTCAGCATGACATTATTGCTGTATGTTTCTGATGTAAGAAGGTTGTATAATATCTCTCCCCAGAGAGCAAATAACAGGAAGCAAGGTATATATAGCACAACCCTCATGAATCAAACATTGAGAACCATACAGAAGTGGGAAGACTTCTCACCAGCAATGACGGGGACTTTTTTCACTCCATTCTTCCTTGGTAATTTGCCCACTATATTATATGCAGACTTTATTTAGTTTTGCTTTAAAATTTAATGCATGATATAAAGGAGATGTGCTGCATATATATTAATGGTGGGAATTGCATTTTCCATATTGCTGATAGCTACTGTAACTGAATAAGTTCTAACATATGACTCATGCAATATATCTTTAAACTCACATATAATCATTTTTATTTATCAATACATTTTATAACATATTGAAATATGTGCGAGTAAATCCATATAATGGACACACAGATTTTATTTTCATCTCCTTCCCTCAGTTTTAGGATTTTCCCATTGCCAGGTTTTTCAGCCTCGTCAGATCAGTGTGAACGAAGGAGATCCATTCAGTATCTACTGTTATCAAAATGCTACTAGCAAAGACACAATGTTCTGGTATAAAAAGCCCCTGGATAAAGGATTGCAGATTCTTGAGAGCGGATTTGATGGCACTAAAGCGGCTGGTGCACTACTGTTCACATTTAACTCTAATGACAGGTCCACAGAGTTGAAGAAGACCCAGGCAGAGCCTAAAGATGCTGCCACATATTACTGTGCAGTTAGAGACACAGTGATGTCAGATGGTGTTACTGCAGAGCACAAACTAGTTCCATTCATGTTTTGTACTGTAAAAGAAAACCTGAAATACAAAAAGGTTTAAATTCCTAGTAAGTGCTCAAATCGGGGTATTTGACTGATGTATAAAGTGTACTGATGTCTCATTCAGAAGAAGATAAAAATAAAATGATACAATCAGAGAATTACAAAGTTCTAGAAAAATTTGCAGGGTTATTTACGAAACACCAGATTTTGAAAATGACCAAATTATGACCAGAATGGCAATTCTCATATTAGCTAAAGTGAATGCCAGTCAGAATTCGGCTGGGTTGAGCATTCCTGGATCGCCTAGTTGCATTCAGCGTTCCTTTTAGAATCAGTGCTTTCACGCCTGAATACTATAAAAAGGATCTGGAAGATTGACAAAGCACCAGTTCTACTAAAATTTGAGAGCAAATGCACATGCCACAAATTATCGTTCACTTTCTTTATCTATGTGATCGTTTTAAATACTATTTACCCAGTGGCAGCTAGCAGGCAAATAGTTAAAAAAAACAAAACAAAAAACCTCTCAACTGAAACCCTTTATTACTATAAGGGAGGTTTTAAACATCCCTATGCCCTCTTCTGTCATGTGGCAGATGGGGTCATATTAACTAAATGTTTGAAACTAGTGACTGGGCATGGAGCACAGAGGGGATTAAGGCCTCTAAAATAAGGGAGAAATGGGATATAGTTATCCCATACCCAAACTGATGCTATTTAATATAATAAAATGGAGAGGATCATAAACTCTCCACTTCCCCCACTTATGATCAGTGGGTTAGGAGGACAAAGTAACTGATAATGGCCCCAACGCAGCCCTCACCCATTAGCAGCAGGTAAGGACTCTAAGTACAACATACATGGTGGACCTAGTGCCCATCCTCCAAGCCTTCACCAATGGGTGGCAGGTGGACCGCAAAATTATTAAACAATGAGGGGAGAGAACATGCCATACTCCCCCCAAATTGCCTTTACCTCGAACCCCCTAACAACCTCCCCATAAAGGATCACAACAGTGTCAGGAAAACAAAGCGGTTTCCCTGACACTATAGTGTCCTGAGGGTGCCTCCACCCGCAGGGTCCCCATCCCGTGGTGCTGAAGGGGTTAAAACCCCTTCAGCCACTTACCTTAATCTATGATTAATTTACCCCCTTAGCGCCATTACAGTGCATTCAATGGGCTTTAAAGTCGTTGCAGCCGCATAGAACACCGTAATGGCATTGAGCCCTGGAGTGCCAGGCATCCTTACTTTCCCATCAACCGGCTTTGGTAGGAGTTCCTGACAGCTAGGGCAGTCCTCCCATGGAAAATCAGGCCCCCACAGGCCATGTGATCCCTATCAAAGATCGATCACGTGGCTGCAATAGCTGCCTCTGGATCTGCCTCCAGGGGGACTGTCTGAGCTGTTAGGCAGTCCCCCTAATTGTGAGAAGAGAAAGACAAATCATTATTGCACAAATAATAATTCAAGAGAAAGGATCAAGAACAGATCCAAAATGTTGATGCTACACTAATACATTTGCTTTTTTTTTTTTTTTCATTAAACAGGACCTGTGAGTGCCTACTTTTTTTTGCTGAAATATTTGTATATATATATTTGTTTCAGCGTGGTACACCAAGGCATTACTTTATTCCATTTGGAAAAGCAATAGGAGGATAGTGAGTGCTCTATTGTGTGTATATATATATATATATATATATATATATATATATATATATATATGTATATTTATATGTATAGGAGTCCTGGCACTCACCCTTTCAATCAATATGCTGTTGTTATAAATGTCCTGGTACAATCCCATGCTGAAAGTATATACAGTATATGAAAGTAGAGATGCACTCTGCGGTCTTTGTAGAAAAAAAGTGGTATTTAATTCATCAAATAATTAACATCCATTTGATCGACGTTTCAACCCATTCGGGTCTTTCTCAAGATCGATGTTTAAACATACTGTTAATGCATATATAGGAAAAAATAAATGTACACACCAATTGTGATAATCTCCCTCATTCCTTCCATCCGAACCCGGATGTGAAAGACGTGCATCATGTGACTGAACGTAGTAACGTGAGCGCGGTGAACATAGTTTCTAGGAAACCGATTGTAACAGACCGTTTTGCACACAAGGGGTAAAAACCGTTTAGGCGATCGGCCCCCTTTCCAGAGATCCAGGCACAGCTACTGCAGAACACCAAAACTCACGAACTGGATACAAAATAGCACTCCAACTCCTGAACTGGAACCTCCCAAATAGCTGCTAGCAGACGAACAGGAAAAGCAGACGAACAGCTTACACTCCTGGCAATCAGTCTCTAACAGCATACAGTGAATCCCCCCAAGAACGAGACAAGGCTCCGTGTTGAGGGTCAAGCAGTGGTCTGAGGTGCTGGCACACCCAGCCTGGTTTTTATTACAGTCTTGCAAATACAGGACCGCCCACAGGGAGGTATAAAACAACCAAATCACATCACAGTTACATCCCACATATTCCCTCCCCTTATCCTGAGAGGAAACTCAATTACACATACAGTTAAAACATACTTTCTACCCAACTTTCATAACTCTAAAACCATACATCACATTCACATAAAATTACATATTCACAATCAATCCATTCAGGGGAACAACATATTAAAAATGGCATGAATCAGACCAGGGGTTCAAAAGTTAGTAAAAAAGTCCTTTGTGACTAAATGAAGCATGGCTTTCTGGCCCAAACCAGTTTCAGAGTCTTCTATCCTGGAGAGTAATTCAATTATCTCCCAGGACAGACACAAGACTCCATTAAGCACATGGTTGCAAAAAGACACAAAACACTTTAAAATACATAAAGTCACATTTATAACACAAAACACAGACATGTAACATATCCCCAGATAGCTCAGGTCCGAGCGCACATTATTAAGCGAATGGCGCTCAGACCACACGAATACAGTTTAATCGCCATGGAGCCAAAATCTTTACAGTCAGTTTCATACGAATGGGCTCCATGGGATTCCTATCTGGGGTATAACACATTCAAACAAATCTACCGAACTCCAGGCAGAAAAGCACGAATGAAGCTTTTCTGCAGGTAAAAAAGATGTCTTTTAACAGGGGGCCATAGTCCAAAGGCAGCAGGCGAGCAACCAGGCTTCTCCAATGCAATGTGGCGAGATTGGTCTCGTCACACCGATATACATATTACAAAGTCAGTCTAATACAATTCAGTGTACAGATGTGAACGTGTTTGTTATTTAAATGGTTATCCATTATAGTGATATGTGTTCTCTTATAGCATCCTGTTGGTGGTCAGAATTGATAGATAATCGTTATATAAGTGGAGTGATACGGTGTGCATGCAACAAAAATATAGTGTAAAAAGTATTGTGTGAAAAACTGTTAAGTGATGTGAAGCACTACAAAAACCATATCAATAAGTGACCATAACCCAGATATGAAATATATAAAATGTAAATAGAAATATTAAAATAATTGTGCAAATCATGGGCATATTGAATACATATTATTGAGCATATTATATTATATTGAGCATATTATATTCTAATAAGGACCAGATTAGGTACCACTAGGAGGCATATTTCTAGTATGTCATATATCATATATAACCACAGATATCTAGGGAGTTATAAATAATATCAAAGTACACAGGAACATTGTACATGCACTGTGTTAAATAGTAACTGCCTAGATATAAACCAAGAGATTCAATTAAATAAAATTAAATTAAAGATTAAATTGATATTTACAGCAGCAGAATATTAATATCTTAATACTATTGTGTCCAAAGTAAATTACTCCCAACGTAAGGAACATTCTATTATTCTAAATAGGGAAATAGATATATCAATGTATCACCAAACGATAAATATTATGATTAGGGATAAAATTTTGGATTAAGAAAAAGAAAAAAAAAATTTGGATTAGCAAGAGAATCTAAACATAAATTCAGGTAGATATTCAGAGAAGCACTGAATATACAATGTTCTCACTGAGTTCTCTGGGTGTTAGAAAAAGGGAAAGAAAAATGAGAATGGAAAAAGAGACAGAGGAGAAAAGAAGTGTGTGAAAGGATAGGAAGAATGTGTGTGTGTGCAGAAATAGTGTGCATAGGGAAAATAACAGATAAGTGTCAAGACACCCAATAAAAAACAAGCGTTGGAGTCAGGAGCTTGTGTGTCAAATCTTCAAATGACAAATACAGCTAATATGCAGAGGCTATGAGAACAAACATCTTGAAGAATATAAAATAAAAATAAGAATAGGAAATAATAGTTGGTGGAATAGGAGAAATGATTCTTTCTCTAACTAACAAATAAAAATTACTTGACAGAATAAAAGAGAGAATATATACAAGCTAGTTTAACTACGCTAGTAGATAGTAAGGGATTAATGGCTGCTATAAGGACTACAATGGTACGTATAGAAACAGGAGGTTTGCTCCCTAATCATAAAAGGTAGGTCTGGAGGGACTTAACATAAAAATATAAACTGAAAAATAAAAAATAAAAATTAAAAAATTGAAAAATTAAAAAATGCATAAATAATAGATAATAATTAATGAATGATAAATAAAAAAATA